TTTGAGACGGGGGGGGGGGTCTCGTTCTTGCTCAGGCTGGTCTCGAACTCCTGACCTGGGGCGATCCTCCCGCCTCGGCCTCCCAGAGTGCTAGGATGACAGGCGTGAGCTTCTTTATCTGGATAAAAACGCCTTCTGGAAATGATGCTGGGCACGGCCAGGACCCGTTTCCCCAAAGTGAAGGACCCGGGAACTCGCGCACGTGACCTTACGCAGCGAAGCGAAAAGCCGACGTCTGTTGGTCCCCACCGCTCAGGACAACAGCCCGCGGTCATTACTCCCGATTTACAAGTATGCCCCACTCCAGTCCTGCTGGTTAGTGAAAGTGAGGCATCTCCTGACAGGAGTTTCACAACAGGTCAGCTGCCTCAGCGCACTAACCAGCGCCCGACTCAAAGCTGCCCCACGCGGGACGCTGGAGAATCGGCCCGCGCCAAAGCCGGCGGGCACGCGCGCCCCCAGCGGCGAATAGGCCCAAGCGCGACGGGGAAGCTCGGCCTCCCTCGGCCGCACTCGGCTCCTAGCCCCGCCTCTCGTCCCGCCTCTTCCCCTCGGCGCGGGCGTTGATTGGCTAGTAGAGGGGTGTAAATACCCAAGTGGCGATGCATGAACTTTAAGCTAGCTGGTTTGTTTCGGGCGGTGAGGGTCAGTCTGGGCGACAACACTTCATCTGGTCACCGAGGCTCAGCCCCCGAGCTTTCCTGCATCTTCTCCTTCATCCTAGGCGATGCGGACCTGAGCGCAGGACCCCGTGTCCGGAAGGAAGTTTGCGGGCTCCTGGGTGCCACGTCTTTGCTTCTGCCATCGCGTCTGCTGAGTTCCCGGTTCACCCCGAAAGCCTGGCTCGAGCATCGTCAGGGCGCATCGTCCTTGACGTCCGCTGGGCGCTGGGCTTGTAAGGCCTCGCACGACGTTCGCAGAGCCGGCGGGCACGGCCAGACCTGGTACTCCTGTGTGGTACTCCTCTGTACTCCTGGTACTCGCATCTCCGCCTCATCTGGGAGGGAGTTCCCACCTCAGGGCCTAAATACCGACGCCTGCACTCGGCAGCCTGGACGGTGCGTACTAACGGTGAAATTAAATGAATGAATGAGGCTTGTGGTGCGTGGCAGGCCTGCGTTTTGGCCCCGGAGGGCCCGCTGCAATGGAAAGGTCATTTGCTAGTCTGGAGACTTGGGTTCCAGTCCTGGCGCTGTTCGTCAATACTGCTGAGCAAGTTCCTCCTCCTGTCTGTGCTCTCTGGTTTCCGCGCATGTAAAGGGAGAGAGCTGACTATAAGTACGTAGTGAAGGCCAACAATGAGCCAGGCATGGCGAAAAGTACTGGGGCTACAGGTGAGCGAAACGGACAGCCCTGATCCCCAGAGCATGCGATGCGGCCTCAACAGTCACAGAGGTGTGATTACACGCTTACTTTTTAAGGAACTATAGTGCGGGAACTTACAGCAGCAGATTTAGTGTAGCCTGGAATGGGCTTCCTGAGGTCTGAAGGAGTAGAATTAACTGGGGATAGGTAGTCAACAACCCAGAGAGAGGAAAGATAGCAAGTGCAGTTTGGAGAGCGAAAGATGCACATTTCTTACTTTAATTGGACATTATAATAACCCTCAAAAGTATACAAGTCAGAGGTGTGGAAGCTTCAGCAAGTTAAATTCAGTACAGCTTGGAGGACTCTTTGAAAGCCCGTAAGTATTCGAGCAATCCTATGAAAATATGTGAAGGCCCTTGGCGCTGTGTTCTGAAGGAAGTGTCCAGAAGATTGTTGATCTGACCTGAACGGTCCAGGTTCCACGATGCATGCTGTGCATCTGACTTCCAGGGACATCTCCTTGCTCTATTTCAGAACTAAAAATATCAATACTCTCTTTAAAGCAGCTCATATTTATGTCAAGCTGAATTATCCAGGCTTGCTTGTAAAGATAAGGAGATGAGAAAGAAGTGGCTTGTGAAGTTAACAGAGAAAAAATCCAAAGGCTGGTCACTGTAGCCTATAAAAGCATGTGTGTAGAGGGGACACCATGTCACAGTAGAAGAAATGCTGGATTGAGAAAACTGCGGTGCCAGGCCCAACTTCACCCCGCAGTAGCTCTGTGAACTTGGCAAAGTACTCAACCTCTCTGAGCAATAGTTTCTTAACATATTAATAAAAACAGGGCTAATTAAGTTCCCTTGGTAGGGTAAGGCTCAGAATGGGAGAAAACAAAAAAGTTATTTCTAAACTATAAAGTATCCAACTAACCAAAAGTCACCTGGCTGCTCACCGTGTTCCCTCAGAATTTTACTGTAGATGCCCATTCATATTATGGGGGAGAAAGGATTTGACACATTTTATTTGAATCTGTAGCAATATACCAAGTTGTTTTGCTGCATAATTAATTTGAATTCTTTCATTTTAATTAAAGGGTTTATCTTTTCCAAAACGTGGTTTTAAAATTTCACATGTGGCTCCGTTTTTACTATTTTCAGTTGAGGAGCAGCAAAAAAAGAATTGAGTAAAACAGTTGGCAGAACCTTTAGATTCTTTTACTAATCCCATTGTGCAACGCATTCAGTGACAATGTAGTTTTTGGTGGTGGTGTTCTCAGATGGTTTGTCCATGAACATGTCTATTCCTGCAGTTCTCTAGAACATGAGAGGCCTTACCCCTAACCCTGGCTTCCTGCTGATACAGAATTTTTAAAGGGGTGAGCCAGCCGTGGACCTGGGAATGCTTTTCTAGTGGCCACAGAAGAGATGTGAACACAATTCTGAGAGCAGTGAAACTATTTAAGCAAAGTAACAAGTATGCTTGGTGAACAATCAGAAGTGTGAGATATTATGAGAAACCAAACCTGCCTAATTGGTAAGGAGGGTGGGGAGTGGGTTTGAGGAGCACAAATCTTGGGCCTGCTGGACCTGGGGATTTGGGGAACCAGGAATGCCAGCTGTGTTCCTTGTATCCTATGCAGAAGGTTAATAACAAGCATTGATGGGTATGTTCACTTACCTGTTACCTCTTTCATTCCCCAACGTGAAGTATATATCCCAATTTTGCAAAAAGGAAATGGAAGCTCAGGATAACTAGAAAGTAGGTGGAACTGGGAGGACTTTATTCATTTATCAAATGAATACAAAGTATTTCTATGTGTATGTGGGTCTCCTAATTTTTCAGATTGTTCTTTGGAAAGGTTTTTAGCTATATTAAGGTTTCTTTTGAAAAGCTGGGCCACCCATTTAGACCATGTTAACATTTGAGTCCTGCTATAGTGAACACCTTAGTTGTAATTGCACTGAATAACTGAAGTTGGTATTTGATATCCTGAGCTCACCACTTAAATTTTCTGCTCTTCTAGATGCTGTCCTTTCCTTTACCAGTCTCCTCGGCTAAGTACTGGTATTCCCTCCTGACACTTGAAAGTCCTGTTGTGTTCTCTCCAGAACCCCATGAGGTAGGTACAGTACTGTCATTAGATGAGGAAACTGATGCAGGTGACAGAAGGGATCAGGAGCATGGGGCAACGCTGTTAAGAGAAAGGGGTGGGAGTCAGAGTGAGGTTTTAACCTGGCCCACTTACTTTGTAACCTCACAGCTCCTGCATCCCCATCTGTGCCATGGAGTCTTACCATCACGGGTTTGTTGTGAAGAATGACATGACACACTTGAGATTAGCAAAGTGCTGATGTCAGCTGTCAATGGATGAGGAAGGGCGGGAGGGAAAGCAGGCACTTAACAGGTGGGTGTCAGTCATCTTTGACTGTCATATTGGTGCTCAGGAAAGTTTTGGATTTTGGAGGATTTTGGATTAGGGATACTCAACCTGTATATGGAAACCACCAAGATTTGAAAGTAACACCTATATAGTCCTCCTTATATTAACCCCAAGGTCCTAAACTGTTTACCTTCCCTTGCCTTTTTATATACTTTTATCAGATTTGTATACCTAATGTTTTTCAGACTTTAAGGGAAATGTACTATAATTTACTGTTTTGACTTTCAAATAAATTCTAACTTTACATTAGTAAGAATTTCTCCATTATCTGTAGCTGTGGTTTGTTTCTGATTACTTGAGATCACTTAGTTATTTTCTGGTTAATGGACCTTTGAGATTTTTGCTATTTAACAGTGCTTTGAACATTCCCAGAGATGTATCCTGATGTCTGTATGTATTAATACTTTCCCTTGGGTAATACCTCAAAGTGAAACTGCCATTGTCCTAAGTGGTTGTAGTAACTTATGTAAGTGGTCCCACACACTGGAGTGAGGACAGTCAGGGTGAGTCATGCTTTCTTATCACTGAATCTCATGTCTTCCATCTTTTTTTTTTCTTCCATGAACTCCTGGCCTCAAGTGATCCTCCTGCCTTAGCCTCCCAAAGCCAGGGGATTATAGACGTGAACACATCTCTAAGTGAATTTCCATTTCATGCCATGCTGTTGTTTCATTGGCCAAAAGAAAAAAAAAAAAAAAAAGCTACATTTGTTAGTTTTTCAAACACATTTGAATTCTGGTTTTAGCCATGTGCATAACTGGTGATCTAGAGTTTATTTTTCCCACTCCTTTAGTAGTGCTGTAAGATTCCAAATGTTTGCTGAGGGACACTACATACTAGGTATTGTTAAATTTTCTCCTAGGGATACAGCATTCAACATTCTACCTCAGAGGGCTTGGCACAACTCAAAAGTTCTTAGCCAGGGTTGTACAGGGCTATCGACCAAGAGCTTTTCCAAAGCTGAGGCCTGTTTTATACCCATACCTGTGCCCCCAGTGTAGGAGACAAACTTTGTAATAAAGTTACACAGCTAATCTGGGACAAGGCATCTGCTCTGATCCTTTCTCCTCCCACCCCAGTGCAGTTTTCAGTGCTGTACTGTTACATGCCATGGTGCCAGGGAAAAAACCCAGCTCCTCTCATGCACGACAGAATAGGTTGAAAGCCAACGTTACAGAAGTGAGGCCATCTCACAATGTACTTCTTTACAGAGTAAATTCCCAAATTATGGGCAAGACCAACAGCAGCAAAGAGTTCAAACATTTTATTGAACATGTTACAAAAGAGATTTAGTCAAAAAGACCAAAGCCCATGTCATCATCAGACTCCTCAGATTCTTCTTTCTTTGCTTCCACTTTCTTCTCCTCAGCTTTAAAAAAAAAAAAACAAAGTCAATCAACTCTCAGTATTTTAAGCTCTGGAAGAGCTCTCCAAGCCCTTCAACTTGCATGATTAAAAATACCCACAAGACTTCCCTCAACATCAAACTATGCTGCAGGCTGTAGAATTCCCACATATCACCTACTTGAGGCAAACTAAGAGAAATACTGCCGATAATACTGTTCTTTTGATCTCCACACCCCTTCCCTCCAATACAAAAAAACTCCTACCTGGGGCAGCAGCAGTAGAGGGGGCAGGACCTCCTGCTGGTGCAGCACCAGCTGCTGGAGCAGGTCCACCAGCCCCTACATTGCAGATGAGGCTCCCGATGTTGACATTGGCCAGGGCCTGCAACATACGTGCATGCACAGGTTAAGTTCTGTCCTTCTGTGATAAGATTCACGCAGCCACAGGAAAAAAAAAAGTGCCCGGCCCCTTTTTCAACTTACAGTGATCAATTCCTAACAATCATTCCTATGGCTAAAGATAATTGAAAATAGGCACATTCCCCCTGAATGACTAGAAGCAATGCCAGAGGGGGTGATTCCAATGTATTACAATCTGGAACAGTGTTGCTAAGGTACCAGATAGCACAAAAAAAATCTTTAAAGCAATTCAATAGAGCAGATTTGAGTAAGAATCATCACTGCCACTAGCTGTTTCTCATTACTAATTTGAGGAAGAAATCTCACCCAGACAAAAACACATTTAGCACTAGCTATGTTAATCTGTTACTGGTTTAGTAGGTCAGAAGATGTGAGCTTATATTTATATGCCCAAGGCAAGAAATAATTCATGGCATGCCAGGTAAATGTACTATATGGTAAATTCCACATCCACGTATTCAACCACCAATGGACAGAAAATATTTGGGGGAAAAAACCATCTGTACCGAACATGTACAGACTTTCTCTTGCCATTATTCCTTAAACTATACAGTGTTAACAACTACTTATACAGCTTTTCCATTTTATTATGTATTATGAGATAATCTAAAGTAAATAGGAGGATGTGGGTAGGTGATATGTAAATACTATGCCATTTTATAAGACAACTGAGTATCCTTGGATTTCAGTATCTGAGGGAGGTCCTGGAACCAATCCCCCAGGGATACCGAAAACTGACAACTGGACAGTACTTCTCTTCTGTCTTCTATGCTGGAGTCGCTCTTATTATTTTGTCCGCCCTGGAATCAAACTTTCGGTTTGTGTTTTCATCCTGAAGACTGACTTTTCTTTGCCAATAGCAAGACTTAAATTAGACAACAGGGCAACACATAGCTCTATTAAGAATAGTCACAAAAAAACTATTCAGCTTTAAATCTAATACTTGCATTGCTGTATGTATGTAGTGAAGTAAAGCTAACAATTCCTTCCTTTCATAAATACATGTTGGGAGAAAATCCGAGGTTCCTGGGACACTCAAATGAGGATTCTTTCCACAGTTCCAGGTTTCCTTTTAACAGTGAATACAAGTTCTCAGACTAAGCAAATCTACAACTTTTCTAGAGGTATTTATTAAATGACATAGGTACAATGTTTTCAATATTCCAAAACTCTTTGGAGGACACAACCCGAAGAGTTAGATGCCACTATTAGCTTCACTTGTCAGAGATTAAGTAACCTGAACAATGGAAGGTAGCCAGTGGAAGCTCTGAGCAGGCACCCTGTCTTTATTAGTCTTTTATATCCCAACACACACTAAGTGTGGTCAATAAAAGACCACTAAACCCCATTTCCAATAGATCACAAGCTTATCATCCTGAAAGGAGTTCCTTGCAATTTAACATGGCTGGAAGTTTTTGCCATGGATTCAGGACAGAAGGAAAAGGAAACCAGAGTCTGACATCAAGATAAAGCCACATGACAAACCAAAACCTTATTAGCTCCCAGAGTTACAAATGTACGAAACAGAGGCAGTACGGTGGAACATAGGGCCTTCTGGCACTTTAGCACAGACAGCTGACCTAATCAATCGGGTCTACCCCACTTTGCCACCATCACCTTACCTTTGCAAACAAGCCAGGCCAGAAAGGTTCGACATTTACACCAGCTGCTTTTATAAGGGCATTGATCTTATCCTCCTAAAACAAATAAAATGTCAATCCACCAGACTGTTAAGTGTAGCGTTCGTAATGTTTCCAACATACCGCAAGTTAAAAGCAAGTCACTCAAAACGTGTACAGAACCACGGCTCAACAGTTCAAATATTCTATTTGGATCATATACATTCATTTTAAAAGACTTCGGTTATCACAAGCAAAAGAAACGTGTCCCAGGCGCCCAGCAATGCGGCGAGCCCATTTTAAGTTAGGAGACCGGGGAGGTGGAGCAGAGCTTCTGTGCCTTCCTCCACGCCATGCTGCCCCGCCCCACCCCACAGGCCTGCTAAGACCATAAATTCAAGGCAATCACACCGAAAGTAGGTACGACTGAATGTCCCGGAATAACATTACATGCAGGTCAGGATGCCCAAGCGCTGCGGAAAAGCTTTCCTAAATATAGCTTCCGAAAGCCGGAGCGCCCAGCGGCGCACACATGCCGCCAGGGCCCGCACGTGGTCCCGAAGGCCCAGGCCGCCAGGGACAGGGCCCGCCCGCGCCCGAGGGGTGCCCGCCCCGCCCCAGCACCCGCCATGACTGCGGCCTCGACCCGGCCTTAAGTGCTGGGCCAGGCCGCCTGGAAAGCGGGAGCCAGCCGCACGCGGGGCGCCCTGCCGCCGGCCCGGACCCGCACTCACCGTGACGGTCACCTCATCGTCGTGCAGAATGAGTGCCGAGTAGATGCAGGCGAGCTCGGAGACGGAGGCCATGGCGCGGGCGAGTACGGGGCTGGCGCTGCCGGGCGCGGTGCTAGTCGCCGGATGAAGTGAGGGCCTCACCCCAACGCAGCCTTAGCTTCCTCGGAAGGACCGAGCACCTTGGCGGCAGCTGAGGAAAGGGAGCCCCGCGCCTGCGCGGAGCCTCTTATATGACCACGCAGACCAATCGGCGCCCGCACTGGGCGGAAGAGGCGGGACCAGGGGGCAACCGGAGGCGCCTGCGCGCCACACGTGACCGCTCTGCTTGTTCAAAAAGTTTCTGAGTGCCTGCAAATGCGTAGTAACTTCAATTGAGCAAGGCAGGATTGAGAACACTGAAAATACTTATAGGAAAAAGTTATCTAGGTAAATGGGCCTCACCCCTCGGTCCCATGGGCAGTTCGACTTGGCAGGAGCTCCAGTGCGGCCCTGTGACGTCACTTGGCAATCCCTTAATTACGGTGCCAGCCTTCCCTGGCCACGGAGACCTGGAGCGCCAGAGCTACGTCACATTTCGGACACCCCAGTGCTCAGCGCAGTGTCTTGATGAAACAGGAGTAATAGAGAAACTTCCAGCGTTACAATAGCAATAGCCTTTGAGCGCTTAGTATGTCCCAGACACAGAGCCACACTCTACAAGGATTCACTTTAATCCTCACACAGAAAAAGAGGGGTATTAATCTCTGTTTTGCAGGTGACAAAACTAAGTCATAGACCTGGTAACTCTCCCCAAATTACATGCTTACCGTGTAGTGGAGCCTGGATTTGGAATCTATTAACAGAAGCCTGATGTAAGTGCCTGGTGCTGGGGTGGGAGCGTTGGATTATGGGTAAATGTCTTCTCTCTTATTTTTGATATGTCACATTGTCTACAACCCGTATTTATCATTTATATGATCTCAAATTTTAATTCCTACCTTCAAAAATGGTAATCTTTACATTCCTTTACACTCCTCTTGGAATTTGCCGAGTTTGCTGGAAAGATGGTTAATTTTTTTTTTTTTTCCTGGTTACCTACCTGATTTATTCGGTCCGTTACATTATCTCAATCATCCCTTAACAAACTTCCATTGGAATCTCACAATCTAGGGTCCCACTTGGGTCAATCTTAGCCACAAACGTAAACATATTTTAGTATCTCGAACTTTTAAAAAACCTTTTATAAAGCTGTCAAACTTTTGAAAAATAAAATTGTTTTGAGTTTTCATCTAGACCTAGGAAGCCATTATAGTGGAATTTTGGTGGAGATAAGTAAACTTATTAAAAAATCTAAACATTTCCAAAGCTAGAATGAGTCCATCCAAAACATTGTTCCCCCACCAGTGTACTTAACAAAAAACTTAAAGTACATCAACACAATAGAACAAAATTTGCACATCTTAAACTAAACTAATAAGAAATTTAAATCGAATTAATATTTTGTTATCCAAATTACTTTATAGTAACAAAACGAGAACCTAAGAGTAAGGGAAAGGTAAATTATAGGCTCTTCTCATGTATATACCACAAAAATCCAAAATATTAATAAACTGAATCTAGAACTGTATATAAAAATATGCTATCATAATTTGGAGGATATTTTATCATAATAACATCTAAAAATAAGTCATTACATTAACAAAGAGGAAAATCTATATAGAATTCTTATAGATTAAAAAAAACACTTGATAAAATTGAACAACTAATCACAGACTCTTAGAAAATTGGAATAGAAGGTAACTTCCGTATCATGAGAAAATATATCTACCAAAAATCTATAGCAAACTTCATACTTAATGGTGAAATTTTTGAAACATTCTTTTTAAAATCAGGAACAAGGATGCCTCCTTTCTCTGCTTCTATTTCAATTACTAGTAAATATTTTAGAGTTTAGCCATCTCCATAAAACGAAAGTATTAGGAAGGTATGAACTCTTATTATTCATAGCTAATATGATTATTTACCTAGAAATTCCAAGAGAATCCATAGACAAACAATTCAAACTAATGAGTTCAGCAAGGTTTCTAGATTCAAGATTTGTTTTTGTTTTTGTTTTTTTGTTGTTGTCATTTTGAGACAGGGTCTCACTCTGTGACCCTGGCAAGAACGCAGTGGCATGATCCTAGCTCACTGCAACCTCAAACTCCTGGTCTCAAGCAATCCTGCTTCAGCCGCCCCAGTAGCTGGGACTACAGGTGCCCAGCATTATGCCTGGCTGATTTTTCTGTTTTCTGTAGACCTCATTCTTCTTCAGGCTGGTCTCAAACTCCTGGCTTCAAGCAATCCTCCTGCCTCAGCATACACGAGTGCTAGGATTACATGCGTGAGCCACTGCATCAGCCCTAGATTCAAGATTAATATGCAAAAGCCAGCAGCATCCTGTACTCAGCCATAGTCACTTGTAAAATGCAATATTAAAAAATATATCTCATACAATACCAACAAAAACAACATGGCTTCTAGAAATAAATCTAACAAGATGTGTATGACCATTATTTTTATGGAACACGATTAAAGGCAACCTTAATAGTGATATGCCGTATTCATAGATGGGAAGCTTAAGTGGATAATTCTCTCCAAATGTCATTTTAATCAAAATTACAGTAAAATGGAATTTGACAAGCTGACTTAAATTTTAAATTGAAGGATCAAAGACCAAACAAGACAATTTTTTAAAGTAATAAAGGAAGATTTAAATATAATTTCCATTGAGGTTACAAAATTTGATTTACCATAGTATTCCTTGTGCCTCAAACAGTGCCTATCACATAGAAGCCACACAAATAAATACTGGATGGATATTTTAAAGTGTGCTATTGGCATACAGTTAAATAGACCAGCAGAACAGAATACTGAACCAAAAAATTCTCTCATATATATGGGAACTTGGTAATGTCAGAAGTATAGCTTTTCAAAAAAACTGTACTGGAACAATTGGTTTTGTAGGGCTATGGGGATAGGGGTGGGGAAAGAATGTTTTTAATTCTTTCCTAACACCATACATAATGTGAAAAGCAAAACTGTAAAATTTTAGAAGAAAACATAGGAGAATATTATGACATCAGAGTATGGAAAAAAATTTTTCTTTTGCGAGAGATGGGGTCTTGCTTTGTTGCCCAAGCTGGATTCAAACTCCTATGCTCAAGTAATCCTCCAGCCTCAGTGTTCTGAGTAGCTGGGATACTACAGGCATGCACCACTGTGCCTAACATAGTATAGAAAAAATTTTTAAGGCATAAAACATAAAGGAAAAGATTGATGTTTGATTACACTAAAATTGAAATCTTATAGACAAAAGATACCATAACCAAAGTCTGAGAAACTGCCACAGCCAAGAGACTCCTAAGGAGATACAATGACTAAATGTAAAATGTTGTTCTGGATGGGACCCTGGAAGAGAAAAGAGGAATGAGGAATCTGAATAAAGTATGCACTTTAGTTAACAACATATATTAATATTGGTTAATTATAACAAATGTACCATACTAATACGTTGCTAATAGGGGAAACGAGCTGCAGCGTATACGGGAACTCTCTATACTATTCCTTACAATTTTTCTGTAAATCTAAAACTGTTCTAAAAATTAAGTTTATTTTTAAAAAAATGCCATAACCAAAATGAAAAAAAGTCATAGACCAGGAGAAGATATGAAGCTCAAAATACCCAAAGAATAAAGAAGTCCTACACACCAAAAAGAAAAAGACTAACAACCAGTTGCAATGCAAATATACAAACAGACAATTCACAGGAGGAAACAAGACTGGCCACCTGACACAGGAAAAGGTGTTCAGCTCACAACTTACAATCAGGAAATACAAATTAAGTCAATGAGATACCATTTCACACCTAATTGGCAAAATAAGTCTGATGACACCAAGTGTAGAGGGGATGTGAGGAATGAAACTATTTGACGTTGCTAGTAGAAATAGAAGTTGGCAAATCACTTGAAGAGCAAATTAGCAAAACCTGGTTAAAGTTGAAGATACACACAGCCTAAACCCAGCAATTCCAGTTCTGATTTCCACCCTAGAGACACTCTGGAATACGTACATGAGGGTCCAAGTGCAAGGCTGTTCCCTGCAGCACCATGTATATAAGGAAAATTGGAAACACTCTCACAAGGATGGGGATAGAAGCATGGAATAAGAAAGCAGCGAACCGTGACATGTCTCAATATGCCAAAAACAAAATTTTAAAAATATATATTTTTTAGATACAGGATCTCACTCTGTCACCCAGGCTGGAGTGCAGTGGCTCGATCACAGTTCACTGCAACCTCAAACTCCTGCACTCAAGTGATGCTCCTTCCTTGGCCTCCCAAGTAGGTGGGATTACAAGCACATGCCAATGCCCAGCTAATTTTTTTTTTTTTTTTTTTTTGGTAGAGACAGAATATCCTATGTTGGCTGGTCTCCTGGCCTCATATGATCCTCCCACCTTGGCCTCCCAAAGCACTGGGATTACAGGTGTGAGCCACTGCATCCAGCCTTCAAAAACAAAATTGAGTGATAAAAACTACTAGAACAAGGAATCCAATCAGTCTTGGCTCCATCCCTGACTATGTGACCATTCTGGGAGTACTTTGCTCCTCTGGGCCCATTTCCTTAACTGCTGTTTGCTTCTGGGTTGTACAAATCAGGTGATTATTAAAATGTTTGGGAACAAAAACACTAAATAACCTTGGTATAATGATCTGAATGAAGTATCCTATTTTGCAAAACAAACTTTCAACTAAAATTAATCATCTAAAGCTAAGAAATTTTTAATCTATGAAGACAAGATAATCATTAGCATGGCTCAATAGTTAAAAGCTTTGATATCCCAGACTTAGGCTTAAATGAACAGACTTTGGGGTCATTGAGCAAATAACTCAATTTTCCACCTGTATTATAGATAATACCTTTAGAGGGTACCAGACACTGAGCACCCAACTAACCACAGCTATTCCTTGTAATTAAGAGAACTAGTTAAGCAAAACATCAAATGCCCATGCATCTCCCTTTATTTTGTGTTGTCCGAGAACTTAGTGGGTTCAACATACTGTTACTTCAAATTCCACTACCCCATAATCCCCTATTATATAGTATAGTAAAAACTTTCTATTAAAATGTATCTTCAAAAGACTAAGCAATAAGCTATTTTAAAAAAAAATCAAGATCAAATCCTGTAGCATGAGATAGGATTGCTCTGAAGCATTCTAAAAACACAACATACTGCATTGTTAATATACTATGAAAGACAAATAAGTGGATTTTGTTTTTCCTTAACCTTTGAATTAGCTTTTGGCAAGGACTGATATCATTCATTATTAATAAACAGATTAAACTATCATTTTAGCTAAAAAAAAAAAAAAAAACCCAGCCTCGAAAGAAACCTAAATTTAATCAGAGCAAAATGTATCCTCACCCTTGCAAGAATGGATATTTCACCATGACTTTCAATGGTACTTTTTCTAATTTATGTTGTTCCCAAACCATGGTTTTAAATGTCTAGAAAAGCATACTATTTAGATATTATGTCACACAAAAATAGGCATTGTCCATTTAACATCAAATTACTTCATATTTTCTAGTGCTTTCTTTTAATTCATCCCACAAACAATGAGTGCCAGGTAAAGGCAATGCACTGTGCTAGGTACTGGGGGTATGTGTTGAATGAATGACCATCACATAACTTTGTATTTCTTAGTGCTTTTTATTTTAATTCTTTTGGCATATCTAAATGACAGAAAGTGAATATATACATACAAAATTCAAAATAACTTCCTAAAATGGTTTTATTGTTGGCCAGTCACTGACATCTTTATTTTGAAAGTTTGAATTGTCAAATAGGTCTAAAGTGCATTCCTGCAGCTAATCAATAGCAGCATTTGTTATTAAAACCTTAAGAAATATTCAGACCAGAGTTGGAAAAGTCACAATAAAAAATAAAGTGTGATCTAGACATATCCTTCCTTAATCACCTAAGACGAACACTTTCATGAATTAGTTTATAAGTATACAAGAAATATACAAAAAAAAGCATTATAAAAAAGTTCATACAGCAATGAAAAAAAGGAGTCTTTCTCTGCTATTAATATTAATATTAAATACAGCAAGGTATGTACTATACCAAGTGTGTTGAATTCTAGATGTCTTTGGAACCATAGGGGGAAGCTTTGACCTAGGCCAGTGTATGATGTAGCTCAGTTCTGTGATGTTCACCAAACCTGGAGTTCTACAAGATGGCTTAGAAGGTTGCTTCTGGCATGGCTTTGGAGAAATCACTCACACTAATGAAAATGTTCTTTCGCTACTGGGACTATCAGTTTATGGCTTCTTGCGCCTAAAACATAAAAACCAACATTTAGTGTTGAATCTTGCAACTAGTGACACACTCATAGCAAATGAATTTTTAGGAGGGCTTTAAGAATTGCTGTTTGATCATGAGAAAATTTAAGTCCTTCTGAGGAAGCAAATAACTTATAAAATATGCTTATCTGGTATTAAATTTAGATTTAATTTAATCAGGACTTCACGTCTTTATCCTGTTACAACAATTTTCCAAATTGCTTACTAAGGAATACAGATGTTAAAAATATTGTATGTGTAGATACTTGTAAAGTAGGGATTTTATTAAAATATGGAAAAAGAATGGGTCAGACTCCTGTGTATGGGTTTAATAGAAGAGGAAAAGGTGTGACTCCTTCCCTAATATAAATTCTGCCATTCGGTTTTATTTACTTTAGTGAACACTTATTGCTATACCAAAACCAAGAAGCAAGTCAGGAAAGAATGAATTACACAAAACTGTCATCATCCCCAACTAATGCCTTCAGCCTTCCCTCTCTACAGGTGCTCTCAGTTCAGCCTCAGAAAGCTTTTGAGCATTGGCAGAATATGAACAAGAGCCACCAATCTTCTATCACCTCCTGTCCTTGCAGCTCCGAGGCTCTCAGCACTGCAGTTGCCTACTGCAGTCTGCCAGTAGAGCCCAGATATTCCAAGGGGAAAATGAAAACCATATGTTTGCTCTTAAAAACAAATGGATGGTTGGGAAGGGCTGATGGTGGAGCTACTAGAGAAGGGAAAACACACACAGCAAGGCCCCAGTTACAGTCAGTGCTTACTTGGGTTGTGCGTGATGCTGATATCCAGGTCCCAGCTGAGATCCTGCTCTCATCTCCACAGCCACGGAACACTGAGAGGAAAATGACGGAAGAGGAAAAGATCAGCTCCTCTCAACAGTCTGTAAAACACAGTTGTTTACATATAGGCTCTACCTAGATGAAATCCAATATTGCTTTCTAGTTCAGCGAAGACACCTATGTTAAAACACCAGTTACTCGCAATTTATTTCTCACATAGGCAACAAACGTTGTAAGCCACAAAGATCTTTAGAAGTCATTCAGTTAACTTCCTTCACTTTAGTTAAGGAAGAGGAGTTCCTGAGAAAGTTAGTGGCCAGGGCCAGAGCTGAGCCTCCTAACCCCCACTTTCTCATGTTTTTTCATATGAACCTCTTCTCAAGAGTAACAGTTACAGGGAATTCCTGGTGAGCTGCTTCTAAGAAGATTCCCATCAAGTTGATGTGAATTCATGTTATTCTAGAGTGATACTCTCTGACTCGTTCTTGAGCCCTATTCCTCTACACTGCAAACAGGGGCTTTGAACTGAAGAGCTCCAATAAGACCAGACCTAAAGAAACACAAATACCTTTGCAGGTGTGCTACGAACAGGCCTACATGCTGCGCTGGTCATGTGACATTGTACCTCAGCATCTTCAAAGAGCTTAAAAAGCTACAGCTATGTGGTTTAAGATAAGAGATGCCTAATTTTTATTAAGCAGACAAATATTTAATTTTTCCCCTACCCTTGTTTCTACATCGGTCCATTCAGACTCTGTGCCATCTGCCTGGGCAGGTACTACTGTGGAAGATCTTCGTTTTCGACTACTGAAAAGGGGGAAACATGATGCAACAATTATTTTTGCATCTAAGAACAAAAAAATATTAAAAATAGGGAAACACCATCTATACCCCTTTGGAGAATTAATGATAAATGTCACAGGATATTCTGTTCCTCAAGCATGAGCAGCCAGGAAAACATCCCTTTAAAGAGACATGTCTTTGATGCTCACTCACCCACTTGGTGATTCTTGCTTTAAAGTCTCAATATCAGTAAATTGAACAGATTGTCCACCACCCCTTGTTTTGTAAACATCACCCTAAAGCCAAGAGAAAAGGTCACTGTTACACTTTGATACATCCAAATGATAAACACACATATCATATTTCAAATTGATCTCAAGAGTCTACTGTTTTATGGAAACTCCCACCCACAAAACCAGATGGTGCTTGGGACTACCAAGTCTGTACTATCAAAATACTTTAGAAATATGCGTACCTATATCTCACTAAAGAAAAGTCCAATACAATGTAATTAGTAACATTCATAATTGTGGGAAAAAATATTCCTTTTTGTCCCACCTGTAATTTAAAAATTAAACTGCCCTAAGGATCAAGAAATCTGCCAGAAATTTCTACATATTCTAAGGCATTGTTCTTTCTTCTCTGAGCATTACCCCTCATATTCAAAAGATAGTACAGTCTTATCTATAGCTATAATTATAATAAGAACTATCCTCTAAATTAAATTTGAAATGAAAAGGTTTTATCTTTTATTTCCTGATTATTTCACTGACTCTATGATTAAAGGAAAATTATTCTACAGGCAGGCAAGTCATCTTTCTGGGAAAGGGCTTTAGATAGCCCAATACTGAATGATTTTGACAGGCCAAATTTTAATGTGGACTTTTTATCTTGAACTGACAGAGAACAAAGGTGGGAGTTCTTTGTTTAGGTTTATTTTTTAAGTAGTGGTTAAAACTAAATATACAGTAAAGTACATTATGGATCTGGAGTTCTAAGCAACCCAAGATTCTATGCCTATTTAAGCTGATTTAGTCCTCCTTTAGCAGATTCACACCTAAGCAGTTACTTTAATTTTCTGCTAACAAAAAGGTTACATCAAATACCCACTGATGTTCCAGTTGACACTGTGTGTTTGTCATCAAAGTAGCAGGGCAAATGGTTTTTTATTTAGTTGATTTTTTAATATATTTTTTCTCCTGTGCAAATTAGTTTTTACCTTAATTAGTTTAGTTTCAATCTCCCCATCGGAGGCTAGTTCCTGGTGGGTCAGCATGTACTTCTCACACTTAGCTAGTGCCTTTTCATTTGCAACAGATACTGTGATGGCATGAGGGACATGTGGCTGCATGACTGTTTCAGTTTGCACGTTAGAGGCAGGCTTATGATCTACCCATCTGTCTCCTGCAGAGCGTGATCGTCTGTGTCGGAGACGAATTGGTGGTATGTTCTGATCAGGTTGAAAGAGGAATTGAGAAACAAGCATAACCCAGAATTAATTTAAGGGTATTATTAGAAGTGCAGCAGGTTTAGCTACGTTACTTGATGATAGTGTCAAAACAATCCATTTCAAAGCTAAATAGTTCTTCAAGTAATTTAAACATTCTCTTCATATTTAAAAACAAAACCAACGAACATCTTTAACACTAGCTTGTATATTATAAGTTCTACCTGGGATCTTCCCTTTGAACAAAGGATGAAAGACGAAATTCTGGTAATGCTGCTAGACTTTCCTGCTTAAGGGGTGGTTCATGACAAATAATTCATTTTATATTATTGATCAAAAATCAATATTTATGCCTGGTATTATGAGGTAATCTGTTAGGTCCACAACTCTGTTAAAAGCTTCAGGAAGAGCCCTAAACATGTCTAGGCCTCTAAACAAAAGAGAAAACACTCCTTATACAAAGACAGAGAACAAATAATAAAAGCTGATGAAGCTATATAGTACAAAATACCACAGAACATAAGGTATAAGAACTCTATGTATAAAATGACTAAAAGAAATGTAAAGTACTTCTGAGTACTTTCACTATACGATTTTTAAATCTCAAAAGAGAACTTCATTACAAGTTCAAATACAATAATGGCTAAAATATGCCAAGAAATTTTTTTACCAAACATTTATAAAGGTTCCAAGAATCAAATAAAGAATACAGTGTCAAATCAGTCTCTGTTATACAATAAAAAACTAGTCACTTCCAGTCAAATGTCATGTAAATGTGAAAGTGAAATTTAGCATAGTCTAAGAAAAAATATTTCATATACACGCCATCATTAATTGTTTGAAGCAATGAGTTATCACTGGCATTTTGTAAACATCTCCTGTGTGTAAAACTGAAAGCAAATGAACAAAAGTCTGTCACAGGCCAAATCCTTCAACACTGTTCAAATGTAAAGATCCCAATTTCAAAATGTATACCTGAGGAACAGAATCATTTTCCCTATATAGTGACATAGGCAATGCAGTTTACCGTTAAAGATGCTGACCCTCAAAACAAGCAGCAAACTTTCCATTTTTAAAATGGTTTAATTAACGTTGAGCAAGAAGGAAAGTCTGGCCTTTATCGTCTACCATTTAGCCAAAGTGAGCGTTTCCTTCAACACATTTAGTAACAAATACAAACCCAAAGCTTGATAAAATAAGCTTCAGAAAGACGAGTCTGTACAATCTACTAGCATTTATGAAATAAATATTTAACATTTTTTCCTCACTGAAATATAAATTCAGTCCACCTGACATAATTTTTGACCAACAAACTTACATGCATAGATAGTAACCTTACGGTAACTTTTCTGCTGCACTTCTAAAGAGATTTTGATTTCAAGTGAGAAGTTGGGGAAAAAAAAGTATCTCTAGTAAATCCTCTTAAATATCTCATAGCCAAATTAGATATCACATTAGTGTTGGCAAGGCACAAGCAGGCCTTGAATGGTTTCAAGAAATAAGATGATTGACTAGAGTTGATCAGAAAGACCATTCACCATAATTTGCTCCCTAAAAAGGTTTAAGGCAAAATCTACAAAGCAAAGAACTTAGGAGACTCTAGAATCATCTGTTGCCTTGGTACATACCTTGGGATTCATCGCCATCCCTTAATAATTAGGAATTCGGGCCACCTACATGAACATTCATCTATACCCTAAATTATACAAGCAAACCTAAAGCAAATATTTACTGTAAGATTAATTTAGAAGAAAAATTCTAAAAGAGTTATGTTAATTTTACTAAGTATAAAAACCACAATATTAACTTGGTTCATTTATTCAGATTCAAAGGAAACTTTACCTTAATCCTTAAGAAGAAAAATATTAAAGTGACTTTAAATACCCTTTAATGAGGCAAAGCCCTTGTAAATTGAGATAAAGCCTCAAGAATAAAAGTAATTTATTGGAAATGAAAATCTTCAGTAGTTTCAAAACAACTGGCCTGGACTCTTCAAAACAGTCAATGTCATAAAAAATATGTTGGGTTGGGGGTTAAAAGAGGTTAAAGAGATATAATTAGCACATGCAATGCATACACTTTGATAGCATCATGGATTGCAAAAGGAAAAGCCATTAGTGGGACAACTGGATATTGTCCCAGTAGAGGATATTTATTCAATTTATGTTAACTTTCTTAGGTGTGATAAAGATTGTGGTTATGTAGGACGATGTCCTTATTCTTGGGGATGAAGTATCAGGGTCTATGACTTACTTTCCCAAAGGTTCAGGGGAAAAAAATGTTTACATATCTATGTAATGTAACAATTGGTAAATCTAGGTCGGGGGAAAGACATTATTGTACCATTCTTCTATCTCTTCTCTTTGGGTATGAAATTTTTCAAAATAAATGTTTGAGAAAATTTTAAAAACTAGGGTTCAGAAAGCAGCAGCAAAAAACTATAACTTAGGGAAGGGGAACTAAAAGAAAAAAAATGGAAAATGTGTGCCAAGATACTAAGGTTCACCAATTTTGTGCAAAGCTCATTAGTTTATTCAACTGAAAAGCACAGACTACTCTGGGATATGCCAAATTGACCTGTGTTCATTGAACACACAGGTATTGCTTCTGTTGCCAGATGTGTTTTAGGCTTTTTCAGATGAAGAGCTAGGCCTCAATTTTAGAATGAGTCCATCTTTCAAATTAACTTACAGAAAAGTTAGACATTACTTATACGTATTGGAGCCCGCCTATTATTCCATTGAACTTTCAGAACCAAGTTACAAAAAACAAAGAAGATAAAATCTACTGCTACAATGCTTTAAAATAATACTGGCACTAACCCTGCAGCAATGATCCTCTTCTATTTCTATCTCATTTCTGAATGTAGGAACCACCTCCCTGCCTTCAGTCCAGTACATCCCTCGCCTTCTGTCTGACACGATACAAGTTTTACTTTGTCCTGGCTCCTGTTGCCTACACCTTGCAATAGATGTGACATTGAGAGGTGTGTTGTACGAAGGAATTTTCTGCTCCCATTCCGAAATACAGGAAGCTACAGAAATGCTGCTGCAAGAGTTAGAGCGCCTATGTAGCTGTGGCTGGCTCATGAGTTGCTGGCCGTTGGAAATCTGAGCAATATAGTTACTAGAAAGCTAGAAAAATTGAGAGAAATTAATGAGCAAGACTGAAAAACTGAGAGAAACAATTCATTACTCTTCTATAATTTTAGCACAGGAAGATTTAACATTATAAATAATTATTTGTAATAAATTACTAAACTTTTATGCTAAATTTGTATTTATACTAAATTTAAAATTTTTTTTTTCAAGTATCTCAGGAAAAAATATTTTTAAATAGAAATTTCAGAAATATAATTAATATAAAACAAAAAACTGATTATCATAGCAACAGTCATCTAATCTGAACAAATTTCCTCTAGTATGAAATTAATGCACAACCACAAATAACTTACAGGAACTGGCGACGGAGAAACAGATCTTTGAGTAACTTTCTCTCGATCCCGCTCCCGAGAGGGTCTCTCTGGCTTTTCAGTTTTGGGTTCGGTAACAATAGCCTTCAGTTGTTTCAGTTTTTCGTCTTTGACCCAGAGTTTATTCTGCATCTCCAGCTGTTTGGCTGCCACCCTACGCTCCTACAGATAATCAATGGCAATTTATATTCTAACTCGGTCATAGCAAACAAGTACACCAGATTACCCAGTCACTTTATTTCCTAACAATGACAGTTCTCTAGTTCTTCCTGAGAGTTAACAAATACTACCAAAACCCTACCACAAATACAGTAATTTAAAATATCTAACCTAACTACAACATGAAGTAAATCATCCAACTCTGAGACGAGCACTACAAGAATGACACTCACGCATTCTTTCTCCCACTTCATTGTTGTTTCTGTAACCATGCCTTGCAACCTGGCTTCTAATCTGCGTTTGTCAGAAAATTGTCGCTGAAGTTTCTGATTCTGGGTTTCAAGTTCCTGTTGCAGATTGCGTTTATCTTCTTCATAGATAGTGGTTGTTTTCTCTAAAATCTCAATCTGGGAAGGTAGACCATTATGTTCACTATTTGGTATGCAAATATTTCACGTCACTATAAAATAATCTTTCTTAATTTGCTTATGTAAGCTTATTTGTGGAAATAAAAGTCACAGAAAAAGCATATTTTTCCTCTAAAATTTCATCTGAATTCCCATTTCCATTCCCAGAAATGGAAACCTGTTAAACAAGTTCCTTACCCAGAGACAAAGTTGTAACTGACTTCATGTGAAAATTACTTTCTCTTAAAATTAAGGCCTAAAACTTAATTTTTTAGGCTATATTCAGAATAAAGTAAACTGTGTTGGTTAAGACTAGCTTCTCTTTAGAATGTATACCCTGCCAAACCTCTAAACAATCCTCTGTAAATAAGAACATATTACACGGTGCTGCAGCAGCAATCCCCAACAAAACAGTATTTCCTTCTACCTCAAAGGAAGAATTTAATCCTGAGTTTGTATTTGTTTACAATTTGTAAACCAAATATGGATCCAATTAAGATTTACTGAGCATCTGTTATGTCTATCTCATTTAATCATTTCTTTCATGTGATTATTGAAGAGACGTATACTGAGCAAATATTTTTTTGTTTTTTTTTCTTTTTTCCCTGCCCCCCTGAGGAAATACTTCTAATAAATCAAAAAGCAAGCTATAACCAAAGCTAAACTCTAGGAAGTCCTCTAGAAAGCTCCCTTGCTTGGGCCAGAGAATATTCTTTCAACCACTGAACTCTCATAAAATTAAAGAATATATTATCCCTTTTCTCTCTTTTATGCTTTTCACTCACATTTCCTCTTCTTTGAGGTGGGATGAAGATTAGTAAGTAACCAAGTGAGAACTCTTTTTTTTTTTTTTCTTTTTACCCCCTCCACAGGCCCCACCAAAAACTCTTAATAAGCAGCAGTTACAGGCCCATGGAGCAGAACAGCTCACTCAGAGACCAGTGCTAAATGGCCAGCACATACATCCATTATAATAATGCCAAAACAAACCTTATATTCTAAAGTTTTGTTTTTCTTTTCCAGTCGTTCTATTTCCAATTTCTGTCCTGAGATCACCTTTTCTTTTTCATTTAGTTTTCCTTGAATGTAGTTTTCTTTACTTAAAACAGCACTGTCAAATCCTTGTAATAAAGCTTTAAAAGTATTAGCTGAAACAAAAGCATGCAGGTCAAATTTTACTCCAATTCCAAAATAACCAATGAAAGAAACTTCTAGTAGCAGACACTAGATAAAAGATGGCTATTCAAAACTACAATAAATTTTTAAAAAGAATAAATAAAATGCAGCTATTCATTCAGCAAATCTCTGAGAATCAGTTTAGTGTGAAAACAAGTCTGGAGGGAAATCAGGAGTTTGACTGTCAGACCTTTAAGAGATACTCACAGAAGCTTTCTATTTAATACTGAAAAGACACTCAAGTCTTTCATTTTACACTAGAGCATCTCTTCCCAACCCTTACAGGTAAATAATTTGCTTCATATCAACAAATGCAAAAACATAACACTAGATTTAGGATTAGTTGAAATCCCTGGTATACCACTTACTAGTTATGACTTAGGCAAGGTAATTAACTTTTCTAAGCAAATTTCATTTTCATATGGAAATTTAAATACCACTTTATACACAACTTTACAGTGAAGAACAAAATGAACTGATGATAAAAATAATAGATACATTCACTTACTATGTACCAGGCTGTTCACTGTTCTATAGGATTTTCATACATTATCTCGTTTATCTTCATAATACCCCCTGAAGTAGAAATAATTACAACCCCCATTTTGTAGACAGGGAAACTAAGAAATATTCCTTTGTGTTCATCACTATTAGTAAAGAAAGAAACAGGAGGGAAGGAACACATGCTCCCTTTTTTGTTTGACTTTCTTAGAATATAAAAAAGAGCTGTGAGAAAAATTCTGTCATTCTAATTAAACAATGCCTTGAGTACTTCAAAGCATAAAGACAAGATAACTCTCCCTTAAAAATACATCCTACCGGCCGGGCGCGGTGGCTCACGCCTGTAATCCTAGCTCTCTGGGAGGCCGAGGCGGGCGGATTGTTTGAGCTCAGGAGTTCGAAACCAGCCTGATAAAAATAGAAAGAAATTAATTGGACAACTAAAAATATATAGAAAAAATTAGCCGGGCATGGTGGCGCATGCCTGTAGTCCCAGCTACTCGGGAGGCTGAGGCAGGAGGATCGCTTGAGCCCAGGAGTTTGAGGTTGCTGTGAGCTAGGCTGACGCTACGGCACTTTAGCCCAGGCAACACAGTGAGACCCTGTCTCAAAAAAAAAAAAAAAAAATACATCCTACCATGGAACTCAAATTCATTGCAAATGCTTTCAATTTCAGAAGTTAAAATGACTGCAAATAATTTTGCCCTTACCCTGCTTGTTAAACTCATCAATCATCATTTGTCGTAGATGATGTCGTTTTTCTAAGGCTTCAATCAGCTTTGGAAGTGTATGCTCATCATTGATATCCAAAATTTCACACGATGGCAAAGGTGGAAAACTCTGTAAAACCATGTCGGTAACCAATGGTTCTGTATTGAAATTATAAAAATTATAAAAAGTTAGATAGGAGAGAAAAAGCTTATTTAAACAAGTTTAACAATGTGATTAGAGCCCCAATTTAACCATGGAATTTCTTGAGTTGACATAATTTTATTTCCTTCAAAATGAGAGTTATAATATACAACAAAAGAAATCTCATTTATATTTTGGTTCAAATTTCTTTGAACTTGGCTCTTGAGGAGAAGGTATGTAAACAGTTCTCTTGTATGAAACAGATTTTTTTTTTTTTTTTTTTTAAAGAGAGATAGACCAGGGAAATGATGTAACACTAAATCATACCATCTCCAACTGGACCTCGAGCCTGGTTTCTGTATCGCCTCCCAGGTGTTAAACCACATATTGCCTTGTCTATTGGTCTTGCTACTTCAACTTCTTGGGTCACTTCTGCAAATCTCATGACTTGCTAAAATACAAAACAAACGGAGTTTTTAAATAATAAGGATATCTAAGTCCTTCGGAAATTACTAAATGAAGCAACAATAGACTGGTTATTAGTCTACTTCTGTATCCAATGATTCTGGGTCAATTTATAATGTTCAAAATGTCTTTCTTCAAATCCAAACAGTTGTTTTCCCTACAGAAACTCAAAACTTTATAGGATAAATAAATTAAAATTACCAAGCTTTCTTCATAATCTTCAGCCTTTGGATTTACACACACAATCATACGCACTTTTCCTTCCCCATCAAAGTAGTTCTTGAACAGGTGGGTTAACTTTGAATCTCGATAGGGAACCATCTATAAACATATTCAAATCCAAATAAATGCATAAGGCAAAAAATGCACACAAAAAAACTATAAAAATGATAAAAGAAGGCCATTGTTTACCTTGTTAGTTCCATACATTTGGTTTTCTCTCAGGACATCCATACATGTTCTTAGTGTCATTAATGACTGATTAATGTTACCTGAAAGAAAAATACACAAAGAAAACATGAGAACAACAATATGGTAGCTAAAGTGTGCTATTTGCCTATAAAACCTCAACTTCATATAACCTTTAGATGAAATTATAACAAATTTTCATGGCTCAATTTAATCTTGGCCCAGGCTTTCTTTCAACGGCAGCATTTCTGGAAAGGTTAAACGGCCATCCTTCAAGGATCAAAAGGATTTTCCACAGAATGTAACATTACACTCAATGACCCATAAGGTTTCTTCCAAATCCTAAATTCTATGAAAGAATATCTTAGATACAGATGTTTAATATCCTCATATTAAAGTGTTTTTTCTAAAACATGGACATTTCAGGCTATAGTTGGCTCCATTAAGAGTCTGAAATCCCCCTGGTACCCAGAGGAGCTCCTACTGTTTCTATTAATAGCAGTCAAGTGTCTTAGGAACCAACTAACTCTGTCCCCTTGTACATCTCAACAAAGATTTCTTAGGTGGCATAGCTGTTAACTCTAAGTACTCTTACTAGGATTTCTGAGCCAAGGCAAGTCTGACATTAATCAAGCCTCTAAGAATGCAGATCTCACCTGATTAGACCCCAAAAGTGCATGAGAATGTGTTCACTTTGGAACCTTGACTAAGGTCAGACAACTTCATCATTCTTTCATACTTGGCCTCCCAAAGATACACCCTGGATACACCTCCCAAAATACAGAACTCATCTGTACCTCCATAATATTCCATGATTCGTGATTTCTCTCCCTTGACCCAAAATCCTGATGTTCTTTCTTTTCCCACTGTGCTCTCAAGAACTCATATTCCTGTTAATAGATTTCCCTACATCTTCACACCTCTCACAGAATGATCCATTCATCTCTTTCCCTAATGGCCGGGGGTTCTTAGCCCGGGGTCTATGTTGTCTACAGATACGTTTCAGGGAGTCTGCATACTTCAATGGGAAATAAATTATATGTTTGTACAGACCTCTAACTAGAAGTGAGCAGTTCCTTCAATTATGAAGTAGGCCGAAAAACACAGTAGTATTATAATAGTAGTATCTGTGATTTTTATCACTAAAATAGCAGATATTTTTATAGCACATTACAGTCTATTGTTGATCAAGATACTTATGTACATCGTTACTTTGCAATTTAGTTATTAGACTTGCTGTTGGGTTTTTATTTAAGGCATTAATAAAGCACACAAATTACTGTATGACAAATTTAAGAATACTTTTAAAAACACATTTCAATATAATTGGTTTCCTTTGTAATCCTCTATGTTTACATTCAGAAATATCACACTGGGCAGGATCCACAGGCTTCGCCCTACATCGATGGCCTAAAATCCTGCAACCTAATCCTTGATCTCGCAGAAGGATCGTGCTTCCCCCTGCAGCCCTGTAGCCTTTTAGTGTAAAAGCTGCTTGTTTCCTAAAGCCTAACCTTCCATAAGTGTGGTGAGCGCAGGGAGGCCAGCAACACTTTCCTAGTTCCTCCTACGTGCCAGCGCCTGGATCATTTTGGTATCATGAGGACAATCACTCTCACATGCTGTGGTCAGAGGACCCCGATGTCCTCAACTCCAGTAAATCCTTCTCTCTCCATTGTAGCTGCACAATCATGCCGAAACCCGGAACCTTACCCCTCAGAAGTACTCCACCTCTGAAAACCTGACTGACACCTGTCATCTGCCCCAACCACAATCTCTTTTGCTTCTTCTTCACTCTTGTCATACGTGGTCCTCACCCATATTAACACTAGTAGTCCTTTCTATCTTTCCCCAAAGCATCAGAAACCTAAGGTGTTTACTTTCTTCCCAATCCAACTAAAACTCTTATCCCATCAAGGTTAATCCTTCCTCTGGTGATCTGGATTCCAATTCTCCTGCCCTTCTGGGATCTTGCTCTACCAATAATCATTGCTTTCATATTTATTAACACCTAATAAGTAAGAGGCACTGGGGATACAATGGTAGACAGCACAGACACAGTCCACTCTCAGAAGACTCAAGCGGTTCAGACAAGTAGCAAGAGTCTTTTGGCCCAGGCTAGAGGCAGATCTAACAGGCCCCATTTTGTACCACCGGTCTTCAACTTCTTCATCTCTTCAGACCATAAATAAACTCAAGTCTTCACTATCTTCTAATATACATATATAATGGGTATATGTTTTTTAATCATTTCATAATTCCTCAAATCCCTTTTAGTTACCACCTCTCTCCCCTTCCCAAACTCCTTAAATCTCAAGGGCTTGTTCCTTAAGGCTCTGCCCTCAGCTATTCCTCTCTATTCTCCAGGAATAATCTTATCTCCCCCATTGCTTCACTCCTGCCTCTACTGGCAAAATCTAATCCTAGAAACCTTAAGTTAAATCTCTCTCATTCCAAATCCATGTACCTCTCTCTGCATTCAATCATAGGCATGTCTACTTGTGTAAATTGAACATATCAAACACAAGCCTCATTAGTACCCCCAACTGCTATTGAAACTGCTCTTTATGCCCCACATCATGGTGCACCTCCTTCCTGACTAGCTCTTGCTTTATGATGATCTTTTTTTCTCCAGGTCACATGATTGCTCATCTGAATTGCTTGCCAAAGGGTCCTAACTGTTCTTTCATATCTCTAGGCTTGCCCCTGGTAAATTAATTCTCTACACTGGCAAAATATTCTTTCTCAAAGACTAAACTTTCTTTAACTGTAAGGTGGAGGCTGTATAACATAGTAGAAAGATACCATTTTTGAGAGTCCAACCAACCTAGGTTTGAACCTAGGCTCCAGCCATGGGAAAATTACTTAACTTCTCCCAACCCATTTCCTCATCTGAAAAATGAGGGTATGATACAATCCTGAGAAGTCAGAATCAAAAACCAAGCCCATGCCTAGTGATACTAGACACACACTAGAACCTTAATAATTGGTAGCCATCATTATTCCTTCAAGATAAAATTCAAACTTCTTAATATGACAGACAAAGGTCTTCATGACCTTGCCTCACTTTCCTACCTCAGTTCTCACAGTTCACCAACCCACAGCCTGCACTTCAGCTACTTTGAGTCTGCCATATTCTCTCAGGACTTGCTCTGTTTAGAAGCAGCTGTCTCCAGCAGGGATGTTGCCTTTAATCCTATCCTTCTCCATATAGGTCGCTGCTCCCCCCCCCACCCCAGACTGGATTAGAAAGCCCTACTCTGCACTCTTACAGAACCTTGAACTCACTTCCATCATACTCTACTCAAACGGTCTAACTATCCACTGATCTCTTGTACTAAGCAGGGCTTCATCCTTTATATCTGTGTTCAATTCCTGGCACACAGTAGTAGGTACGCAGTAAATGGTTATTAACATAAAATACAACATGCACAGCTATACTAAATGAAAGATTAAACACACACACACACACACACACACACACACACACACACACGTACATTTCCCTTCAACTGACTTTTGCATTCAGTTGCATTCATTTTCCCATCTCCAAAAGCCGATTTTTACAACTATGAATGCTGGAATAACTGTTAAATCACTTAATTTCAAGGACCCAATACTGACCTACAATACTAACAATACATATAACAGACTCTTTCAGTATATATAACTTATTTTATATTTATTTTAGTCAATCTTCCTCATTCTTAAATCAGTGTCTTACACTGGGTGTGAGTGGCTTACCTGTGATCCCAGCACTTTGGAAGGCTGAGGAGAGAGGATCACCATAGGCCAGCAGTTCAAGAAATTAGTGTTTTGTAACAGATACCAAACCAGCCTAACTAAAGAAATAGCATCGGCCATTAATTTAAACTCTAAATTAACTAACTGAAGAAAATTATGTTTAAACCACCCATCAATAAGTAGATAAAAAACTGGCAATGCAAGTTTCTGAAAGCTGTGACAATAAATAAGTGCTACGCTTTACTCACCAGCTTCACGTAACCTGTTCCCTTCTGCTCTGGTCCGGTTAGTTCTTTCACTTCCAGCAAGATCTACCAAGGACAACTGGCTTATAGTGATTTGCTCTTTTTCCTGAGGAAAAGATCACAAAGCCAATAATCCAAAATGAGTTATAGTTGGTTTACAATGTTCTTTAAGTAGAGTCAAAGCAATGAGTTATTAAGTCTTACTGAATATATTTGCACAATATAAAATGCATATAAGAGGGGCAAAGGATACATGTTTTAGGGGAGACTTTACTAAGAGTGTGATCAATATATTCATCAAAAACAAAAGATATATATATATACTCACAACATTAACTTTATTACTTGTCTATTGTCTAGTCTTCCTTCTACATCAGAGTGTAAGTTCCCTGAGAGCAGGGACTCTATCTGCCTTTTTATTACATTATCTCCAGCATGATATATAGTGTCTAGCATTCAGTAAACTCAACAAATATTAGCTGAAAAAAGAGAGCCTAGAACAGGGCTATCCTAAATTTTCTATAATCAGATATTTTATAATCTCACAATAACCTAATAATTTCATAATACTCTAATTTTCATAAAAAGAAATAAAGGTCAAGAGGTACCTGATATTGTAACAGTAGATGTGATTCAAAGGAAATCAAGTGTATATGGAAAGCTGACATAACTATTTTCTAGTGAACATTTATTGAGTGCTGACTATAAGCCAAGCATTGAACTAAGAACTTTATGTGCACTGCCTCCTTTAATTCTCATAACCTTTAAGGAGGTTCTACTATAGTTAAGTCATATGGCTAATAAATATAGGAATCAGAATTCAAATCCTGGTGGTCTTCCCTACCACCCATCTCTTGCTACATATAAACCTCTATAATGCCACAATTTTATAATATGGTTTGAATACAATTATACTTTAGTATCTTAAAGTTATTAAATTATGTATACTCCAGCATAAATGGTGTTACTAATTGACATAAGCCTTGTAGCATGACAGGCTCAGTTGTAGGTAGCGATCAGCTGATAGCCCTACTGGCCTGGTAGGTACAGCCCCATTTCCTGACCTGTACCTACCTTGGAAAGTGAATTGCCAACACTTTAAAACCATTAACCGAACTTCCATATACAAAAATGAGTCATCAGTGATAAAACAATAAATCACGTGTTCTTCTTATCTCCTCTATTGAAGAAATTTTTAAAGATTTATAAACCTTTTTCATAGCAAAATTCCAGGTTCCAAGAGTCACTAGCCAAATTCCCAAAACTACACTCTCTAATGGAAGAAAAAAAAATTTCAGATGTCGTCACCTACATGTCTTCACCCTCAGTATCCATGGGGGACTGGTTCCAGGACCTCCCGCAGATACCAAAATCCACAGATGCTCAAGTTCCTGATATAAAATGGTGTGGTATTTACATATAATATCTAATACAATGTAAATGCTATGTAATGAGTTGTTATGCTGTGTTACTTAGGGAATAATGACAAGAAAAAAATCTGTACATATTTAGTACAGATGCAGTATTTTTTTACAAATACTTTTTATCTCAGTTGGTTGAATCCATGGATGTGGAACCCACAGATACAGAGAACTGACTGTACATTAATTCTAGAAGAATCTTCGCTGCAATAAAATGTCTCTAATTTAACTCTAATTCCAAAAATTAAGGATTGAGTTAGAACCAGAAAATACACGCTACAACTTTACCTGTAAGACATTGTCTCCATCTGCATCTAAGGGAGCCTGAACTAATTTAATGTTGAACACACTATGGGAACGGCTGGACTCACGATTCAAATGGGTGTTAGCAATACGTCTCTTTTTTTGGCCTGTGACAACAGAGAAATCATTGATCAAATCTGAACTCAATCATTTCATTATACATGCTTTCTAATCAATCAAAAAAGATTGCTGTCAAATTATAGTAGCAACTCATCAGGGTTATATTTATCATTTTATATTTTTCTAATTCTAGCTTTGTTTCTAACCTCTCCAGAAAACTTCAAAAGCCTCCTCAGTAGATTTCACTTCTATTTCCGTACATCCTGCAACATACATGTTATGGTTCTTATCTTCACGAAGCAATTTAGACTGTGGAGGTCTATAGGAAAGAAAAAATGATTAGTTTAAAAATTATGAGATACTGATATCTTCACTTAAGACTAGGACTAAAATGCCAGGTGACAAGACATCCACTCTTATAATGAAAATAAGCTTACGTAAGACCCCGGAGAAATATTAAACTTGGATGAGATTTATATACAGTCAAGATTAGTTACGTAACAAGATAAAAGGGACCAATTTCGTTTTAAAAGCTTTGCTCTAATTTGCTCTAACAAAGCACATGAAACAACACTAACTAAACAATTAGAGACCAAAGTAGTATTACAGCAACATCACATGCACAGGTTAAGCATCAAAATCTAGTATTTTCCTAATTTTAAAAGATCAGCAGATAGAACTGGTTCTGACGTCAGCCATAGCAGAAAACAAATTCAGATAAGAGTTTGGTATATACCAGGATTGGCAATCCTTTCAAAGTGGCCTGTCAAGTTTTAGTCTATATGGTAGAATGAAGGCTGGGTAAGGGTGCTGTCTGTTTGGCCTCAGTCCTGTGAATGGTGAGGGTGGAGACATTTACCAGCCACCATCACTGATAATCAGTGGAAGATTTTTCAGGAAGCAAGGAGGGCTTAGAGTAGCAGCCAGCCCAATGCCAATGGAAAACCACCTACATGCAAACATGCCACAGAATGCCAACCACTAGTATAACTGCACCCTTCTCCTTAAGAGCCAACACCATCACATACACAAAATCTGTGTTCCTCATGGGTGTGCTGCAACTGTTCCACCTACCAAAGGGATAAAGTAGAAGTCACGGTTTCTATAGCAGCCATCTCACAGCAACATGTTCAGTCCTGACTATGTGACAGTCACAATGAGTTGTGTCTTAAAAATCCTCCACTTGTTAATAATTTTTTTGTGTGAAAAACCACTAAAAGTTAACCAGCTTAAAAAAACAGATCTAATGCCACCCTAACAGATTAAATCTAAATTCAGCGCCAAAGCAGCACCCTTGTATATTCATTCAAGGAGTTACCCAGAAAGGTTTACAAGGCACACAAGTCATTTTTGTTGGTCTTCCTTTGTATAACTAAATAAAACCAAGATAAGATCCTTTCAAAATAATCTCATTTAGAACAAACCAAACAAAAACTAGGTACATGGGCAGACATGAAACTCATTAGTAGCAATGCAGCAATGAATGACATCACAAAAGTTTAGAAAAATCGGTACATACAAAACCAGAGTCAAGGCAACTAACGCTTTGAAATAAATGAAAAAGTAATTTAGTTTGATATAAAAAGCAATTGTCTCATAGTCTTTACTCTTCCATGTAAAGACTTTAATCTTCTCTATAACCTAAGTAGATCCTTCTTAATACCAACATTCCAAGGGTAAATAAAAACAGGTCACTCCAGAAATAAGTCCCTCCGTAAAGTCCTCATTTTAGGAAGAGTTAAGTAGAGCAATAGTCTTCCTTTGCATAAACTTCTAGAATGAATACTTTTACATTGAGCTCACTTAGTAACTTTGTAATTGTCTTCCCAATCAATGTAGATGAAAATTCAAGGACTCTGAGTGAAGATACCTGTATCAAAATGTGACTCAGTAAGAACCACAGAAATACTTGTATCAAGTATGGCCTCAACCAGAGTCCATAAATTTTCCCTGTAAATAAAAGTGGATACACTGACATCTATTTTCAGTCTAATGGTTTTCTAAATCCAGCTGTTTCTATAATAATATTCCTTTGGACATACACACAAAGTTAAACATAAGACACATGTTGCCAAGGAACGGTGGCTCACGCGTGTAATCTTAGCACTTTGGGAGGCCAAGGCGGGATGATCGCTTGAGGCCAGGAGTTCGAGACTAGCCCAGAGCGAGACCTCGTCTCTACAAAAAAATAGAAAAATTAGCCATGCATGGTGGCGCATTCCCATAGTCCCAGCTACTCAGGAGGCTGAGGCAGGAGGATTGCTTGAGCCCAGGAGTTTGAGGCTGCAGTGACACTCTAGCCCAGGCGACAGAGCAAGACCTTGTCTCAAAAAAAGAAAAAAAAAAAGACAATGTCTTCATATTATTTACGTCCTGAGAGGCCCTAACGAAGATAGCATTAAAGACAAGCCTTTAGCTTAAGAACAAAACCATCAACTCAGAAACAAGATACTAATTTTAGACATAAGATTCTAGAGTAGAATCTGGCACAAATGCAGATTTATGTTTTGTGATGCCAGGTGGTGACTGGTCTTCAGTCTAGGCAAGGCAAGACCCAAGGACATCTAAGAAGCAGTCTTTTAATTCTGGCAAAATGGCAATGCAGATGTCACTTCCTGTTAATCAATGATGAAATGTCTGTATTACTTGCAAAGATTACAGCTTTAGGCTCCATTCTATAGAGATCACCAAGATACAGGTGGTTAAGGAGGCCACAAAACTTCCCACACTGAGTCTCAGGTTCTGGATAAGTAGCCCCAGAGCATATCGACAGGGAAACTTCCTAACATAATTAAGGGCCTTCTCAAAATACAGCCCAGAGGCAAGAGTTTTCAAAAGTCATCTCTAAGATGAATATTCAGGTCACTCTTCCCCTTAGATGCCTTAACCCACTTGTTCCCTCACTGAGCACCAACTACTTGATAAACAGTTATAACATTTCATTTTGAAAACAAACACAAGCATTATTCCCATTTATAGCTGAAGAAACTAAGGTTCATTGAGGCAAAGTACATTCCCCAAGGTTAACAGCTAAGAAGGGGCTCTCTTCACCACTTACTTGGGTTTTATGGGATCAAATGGCACCTCTTCCAATAGATCATATATGTAATTATTATATATTTCAATATAAGAGACAAATACACCATAGACACTATCTTCATCAACCTCTTCTGCTTTGCAGAATTCTTGTACAGTTATCATATCTGCAAACTCTGGATCTATTTGTCGTCTAAAAGAAAAAAAACAAAAAGTCTGCTGTTATACACTGTGAGTAAATATCAAAAGTAAATTATCCCAAGGGGAAACGAAAAGATTTAACATAAATGATACACTATTACAAGTAGAAACACACAATGCAATTTTATTCATACTCAATTGAAAACAGCATCCCCATCTCCTCCTGGATATACAACAAAGGCTTTTACCCTCACTCCTCACCCAGAGTGGCCCCTTCCTTCTCAAAAGAGTAATTCAAACACAATGTGCTCAAAACCAAAGAGAACATCTGAGCAAATAACTGAAGAACATTCCTCAGCTTTAATCTCACAAAACTCAACTGTCAGACCAACTTCTCTACTTAATGTTCCCTATGCCTGGGCAAACCATAGGACAGAATCCCGGACCTCTAGGCTGGTGTTGCATACAAATATAATTACTTACTTGCTAGAGAGTGTCTTTGGAATGGGCACAGCTTCTCTTTTCTGACGTTCTAGTAAGGCATCAACCTCACACTGGATATCCATACTATTCCTATCATTAGATTTAAAAACCTGAAGTGGAGCAAAAACCAGATAATGGTTTTTAGAATTTGACCTAAATACTAAGAAACATGTTTAAGAAATAAGAAACATTTAATATTTAAACATAGTTAAGGTTTCAAAATGAATCCAATGCTTTGGTTCTTCCTTAATATTACAGTATCCATAGGCATCTTAGTCCTGTGTCCACAGTGAAATAGTCACAACACAAAAGAATTATACTTACATATCGCTTAGCTTGAAATGACCCTATGCTGTTAAAGATCATGTCCAAACAACGAGGAAGCAGCCCTCCTTCCCCTGGAGAACCAGTCATTGTGTGAGTTTTTCCACTCCCCGTCACACCATATGTAAAAAGAAGACCTACAGTATAGCAAGTCACAATGAGTTACATCTTAAAAGTCCTCCACTTATAATATTTCAATGCATTAAAAAATACTAAAAATTAGCCAGCTTACAAAAAGCAGGTTTAACATCACTCTAACAAATTAAATATGCATTAAATGCCTAATATAAATGAAACATACAAATATCAAATAAGTTTTATCAAAAAAGGAGAAAAAGGCAAACCCAACAAAACTCCAAGAATCGTACCATTTTTGCCATGAATGAGGTCCTCTACCAAGGGATTAGCCACAACATCAAAGAGCTCCTTCTGGGTAGTGTGAGTGCCAAATACTTGTTTAAATGAATACTGAGTCTGTGGAGAGAGAAAAAAATAAAACACACTTAAATGGAATTCTACGATATCTAAGCTAGAAATACATCTGCTTCAACTTAAGATGTTTCTTTACGAACATTTAAGATTAAGAGTCTCATGTTCTACTGACTGAGCTAACTGGGCGGAGGCTATGAACATTTAAGATCTAGACGTGCAATGAAAAAATATGAATCGTCTTTACAGTTGGAACTTTTAGTGTCTTAGTAACCCACTAAAAAGGCATGACACACCTAAATTACACGACTTATAAATTGGTAAATATTTTCAGTCACAACTACCAAAGAGAATGTAGAAAAATCTTAAGCCCTCTAATGCTTCATAGACTAAGGCTGATTTTGTTTTAATTAAGTGACAAAGAACATCAAAATGTATTACAACAATTCATAGTGATAGATTTGTGAAAATCTGCAAGCATTACTTCATACACTAATTGACTGTTTTCTATTTTTTCTTTATAAACGTGTCATTTAACATGGCATATCAGCATAATACATGTTTTGATGTACTGTATTTTAAAACCAGAAATGAACTGTAAATATAATCTCATCTCGAGTTCTTATATGAAATAAATTTTAAATTGTGACCTTTAAGAAAGCAAGAATACTTCAATTATTAAATTTCTTTCAAAATACAGTTATTATAAGGTATAGTCACATTATCAAAAATACTATCAAACTCCTTGAAAAATTAGATTGGAATATATAAATGTAAATTAAAATGTTTTAACTATCCAGGAGCTGGAGTTCTATTATTTCTATTTTTGTTATTTGCTAGTTTTATTGGCTTATAGACATTATAATTATTTCCGAGGACTTCCTGAATTTCTTGCAGTTTTTGCTTCTTGAATTTCAATGCTAAATTATTTAGTGCAGCATGAGTATTCATTAGAATTTATTATTTATTATTATTTATTACAGTCTTTGTCAAATGTCCTTTTTCCTGTTCTACAGTCTTTACCTTAAATTCAACCTGCTCAGATATTAATATCATGACTCTTAACATTTTTAAGATTAGCAGTATCATTCCCCAAAAGGAGACATGTATAGATTAATACTCAAACATGTAATAATCAAAATATTAATAATGACAGCTGACAATAGGCACTGCCTATGCAGTGAACCATTTTGTTCCTAAGACCTCTGATGTAGGTACTATCAGTTATGCTCATTTTATAAATGAGAAAACAGAGAGGTTAAATAACTTATCAAATACCAAACACTTACTTCAGCTATGCTCACTCTCACCATTGTGGAAGTTTTCATTCTAATCCTATAAAACAGCTTTAGAATTCACAAAAGAACAAGAATCTTGGAACTAAAAGAATATACACAGGACAATACTGAGAGGTTAGATAGATGACCTCAGTTCCTCATGAATAGTTCCCTTCTCTCAAAGTAAAAACTGGGGCCCAAAGGAAAAACTTACCCAAGCCCATGCAGCTAATTAGTATCAAAGCCCTCTCCAGAACATTGTTCTTTCCATTAAACAACGTTGTCTTCTGCCAAAAGGCAGTAAGAATTTTTAATCTCCATCAAACCTTTTGTTAATACCTACTTTGAAACTTTTATATATATTTTAAATTTACTTCAATAAATAAGTAAAATTCAGTAGGTCAGTGTCCAACTATATTACATCCTCAAAGACCTGTTCTTCCATAAAGCCTCCCCAGCCCATGCATTCATGCTCTGTCCATATTTATTCAGGGTTTGATGAATAGGACATATAAGGTGCATAACCCCTAGAAGTTTACATTATGTGGAGGAAAGAAACAATAAACAAGTAAATCGATTCTGTTAAGTACTGTGAAGGAGGCGCATAGAATGCAGACTAAGGGAAAAGAGGGATGGGTTACTATTTCTGACGGGGTAGTCTGGATACCCTAAGAAGGTGATATTGAAGGTGAAACCCAAGGATGAGGAGCCAACCATGCTAAGCCCTAGGGAAAGAGAATTCCAGGCTAAGGCATCAGCTGTCAGGCAGGACTCTGGCTTATTCAAGGAACTCAAAGGATTAGATGAATACTAAAAGATGAGGGTGGAGAGATAGGAAGCAGATTAAGCAGGATTTTATCCATTTAAAGATTTTATTCCTTAAAAGGTTTTGAACAGGAATATGGTGAGATCTCATACTTTAAAAGATCATTCTGGAAGCTCTGTAGAAAATGGATTAGAGAGGAAGGTTCTGAGTAGAAGCAGGCAGTCCAATTAGGCTTCGGCGGTCTTGTCAATGCTACTCAAAACACAGTCAGCAAACCAATGCCTGTCTGAGAACTGTTCATTATCAGACTACTTAAATGCTGAGAAACTTTTTTAGCCATTTGGCATTGCTGCAGTGTCACAGAACAGTGTTCAATGGCTTATCTCTCTGTACGATTATAAACCAGTTCTCTGTTACCTAATGCACGTGGGTAGTTCCATCTAGCACAAACTGTACAAATGTACCAATTGCAATACATTGAAAGTAAAAAAGCTATTCCTTCACTACAGATAGTTTGAGAAACACTGGGCTCAGCGAGTAACAATGAGGCTCAGAATAGGGTAGTGGTAGTGGAGATGGAAATGAAAGGACAGTTTCAAGATGTACTTTGGACTAGCACTGATAGGATTTTCTAATAAACTAGATATGAGGTGGGGCAAGTAAAAGGTGAACACCAGGTTTCTGGCTTGAGCAACTGGCACAGATGATGGTGTCATTACTTGAGAAGACAGGGAAGGAAGTGATTTAAAGGGAAAAGAATCAAGTACTCCTCTTTGGATATGTAAAATTTGAGATGCCTATAGGACATCCAAACAGAGATATCAAGTAAGTGGTTGGATGTTTGAGTTTAGAGCTAGAGAAAAGGTTTAAGCTGGAGATAAAAATTCCAAAGCTTTTACCATATAATCAACATTTAAAGCCATGTGAAAGTGTAGATAGAGCATAGAGCCCTGGGCATAGCCCAACTCTATATTTAGAGGTTGGAAAAGGAAGAGCCAGCAAAGGTGGCCAGTGAGTAAAGAGTGAAAAGAACAGAGAGAGCTGGAAGGGGAGACAGGAGAATGATTCAGGAAGGAGAAATAGACTGTAATGAGGACAAAGAAGTATACATCAAATTTAACAGCAAAGAGGCCACTCATGGTCTTCCAAAAAGCAATTTCACTGGAATAGAGGCACAAGAGTGAACGGCAGCTAGATGTAGAAATGACACCCTGAATTCATCCTTTTCCTTCTGCATTCCCACCATTCCCCTCTTTAACACAACTGACTTTGTCTCATCTAGATGAGAGTTACTTGTTTACTCGTTATTGATTATTGTCTCAACTAAGTCGTAAACTACATAAAGGTAAGGACATGTCTTACTCAAGTTTTTTAAATCTCCTTCCATCCTCCAGCCTACTAGCTTAGTGAAACATTTGCTAAACTGAATTGAACTCAGTATTTTTGAGTTTGGTCAATATTTTCCTAAAAATAAAAACACTTCATAAGAGGTTGATACAAGTATAAATGCCTGTTATTAGTTATCTTAATCACCACACATGAAACTGTGTGTGTATATAAAAAACTGCTTAGCACAATCACATATCATTCCACATTAAACTATCCCTAACATGTGCTCTAAGAAACAATAAATATATACAATGTAAGAAATTATCCCCTAAAAGCAATGCTCTAACTCCAGTGTACCAAAGATGTGTCTGTGCATTCCAAAAATCAAAAACACTTTAGATATAGTGCTTATAGTGAAGTAAATAAGTCTTTCAAAAAAGTGGGATCACACATGAACTTTCTTAAATTTAAAAGTGTAAAAGCCACTCAGGAAACAATATACCAAGTAAAAACAACTTGGTTCCAATAGGAATTACCTCCTTACAGTCTCCATTTCGGTTGAGTCTGTAGCCCTCAGGAGTATGAAGCTGAACAGTTGTATTATTGATCACTTCTATGCAACACTCTTGATCAGGAAAGCTCAGTGGGCGCACCCTACAGTATACCTGAAAAAACAGGAAGGCATGTACAGAACAAAGGTTGACATTTTGCCTGATTTTTCATTTAAGCTTCCATTCACCCAGTCCACAAACATTTGGTCTCTCAACCTAAGAGAAAAAGCTAGCGCTACGAAAACCAAAATCTGCTACTTGAGATTGACAAATGCAAACAAACATATTAGATGAGAAGATTTAAAATATACATAAAATTAAATTTTGATAACAAAAGGATCAAAGTGCACAACTTGTCTTCACTATTATATTGTAATAGCGTAAAATACTATTTATATTATACAAATAATAAAGTTATACTACTAATATAAAAATCTCTAACAGCCAACAACATATCACACAATGAGATTTTTAAAAGCTAGAATTCTTTGGCATTACATGTCAATTTATAATAAAACTTGCCAGCTTAACCTAACAATATACAAAGAAGTAAAAAGGAAAGGGTAGGGGAAGGTTTGAGGGGAAAACCCATTCTGGCTATATGCAAAGGACCTAATTCCCTCAAGTCAGACCTGGACGCCAGTGGCAGTGAGGAAGAGATTTAAAATACCTCACAGCAGCACCCGAATGTTTATGGCAGCACAATTCACTATTGCAAGAATGTGGAAACAACCCAAGTGCCCGTCAATCCATGAGTGGATTATTAAAATTTGGTACATGTTTACAATGGAATATTACTCAATTATAAGAAACGACAGTGATCTAGCACCTCTTACACTTTCCTGGATTAAACTTAAGCCCATTATCCAAAGTGGGGCACCAAAAGAGAGGAAGAACGGGATCCATTTGTACTCACCATCAAATTGGTACTAACTGATCAACACTAGGTTGATCACATGGCAGAAATACTCTCTAGGGATTAGGGGGATGGGGGGGCAAATCTACAACTAAAGGACATGGGGAGCACTAAAGGGTGGGAAGGGCATGCCTTTAACCCGCATTTGGGTGAGGCAAAGACATAAAGTGTAACTATAATGTTTGTACCCTCACAAAACCCTGGAATAATAAGTAAATTAAAAAAAAAAATACCTCACAGCAAAGCAACCCTCTTTTATTTGCCATTTGCTTTTAAAAGCAAGTTCCCAAGCCTGAACCTAGTGAAGTATTTGCAATTATGAGTCGGCATTAGATTGAATTAAGGTATTCTATACCACAGTCTTTATGAAACTTGGTCCCCAGAAGTTTGGGGCTCCCCTGGTGAGGCATATCATCAGTTACTGTACACAGGTGGGAAAGAATGCTCATCTGAGCAGAATATTTCTCCCATCCACAGAGAGTATGAACCCAGTTGAAGATTTTAATTATCTAACTTTTCAAATTATAATTATAAAAGGAATGCAGTCAACCAAAGACTTCATTTTACAGGACTAATTAATCCTATAGAAAAAACAAAATTTCATAGCCAGAAGCAGTTTTAAACAATTTAGTAAATCCACTTAAATATTCTTTGACTACACTTTTGCATCTCTTCTTCCTTCTATTCCAAGCATACACATAAGACAGAAAGGACTGGAGAAAGAATATACACACATAAATCCACAGGGAGATCTTACCCCAACTGGGTCTTTAAGGTTCGTTTGGGATCCTTTTTTCACTAGAGGTTTCCTGGGTGTCTTAGCCCTCCTGGTCACAGGTTTAAAAAAAAAAAATTTTAGTTCAACACTAATACAAAAACCTCACCTATAACTTACATAGACAACCTTCCCAGGATTTATAAAATTATTCCTTAGCAGTTCCAAAATACTGCATCTCAAATAACACAAATAATACTAAACTAAACTGCATTAGTAGCAGAGTGTTTGTGGCATGTGTAATCCAAAAGTAATTAAAATTTGGTTTAGAATACATTTTTTGGTACCAAATATACCAAGTTACTCTTTGATTAGTTCTATATTTAAAATAGTTTGCACATTTTCTTGAACAATTTTACAGAAGCACTAAAAATTTGAAAAATCTGCAAATAACTGCCCACGCTTATTTTTGAAGACATTTACAGGCCAGGCACGGTGGCTCACGCCTGTAATCCTAGCACTCTGGGAGGCCGAGGAGGGTGGATCGCTCAAGGTCAGGAGTTCGAGACCAGCCTGAGCAAGGGCGAGACCCCATCTCTACTAAAAAATAGAAAGAAATGATCTGGACAACTAAAAAAATACATATATAGAAAAAATTAGCCGGGCATGGTGGCGCATGCCTGTAGTCCCAGCTACTCGGGAGGCTGAGGCAGGAGGATCGCTTGAGCCCAGGAGTTTGAGGTTGCTGTGAGCTAGGCTGACGCCACAGCACTCAACTCTAGCCTGGGCAACAAAGCGAGACTCTGTCTCAAAAAAAAAAAAAAGTTAAAGACATTTACAGATGTGCACAAGCACATACACTGTGTTAACAGTCATTATCAAGGCAGACTAACAATCAATTAACTTCGATAAATTACAAAAATGCACATGAAGAAATCCATTCTTTCTTTAAAATTTATGCCTATACTGTCAAGGAACAACCAGCCAATGAATGGTCAAAACGATAACCCTTTGTCCCCAAATAAAATGTGGTCTCAAATTGCCAATTTCTTGCTCTCTTAAGCAGGGACAATAAAGGTATTTTGACTGATATCACCATTTCCCCAGCATACCACTTTTTGTTCCTCACATCTACAGGTTAGATGAACATTTAACACATTAAAAATTAATTGAAATTATTGGCTTGGACTGTAGATTATTTTTCTCAACATATTCCCAGGTGAGACAGAAGCAAACTAGTCTTACGTGCAAAATACTATAGTGGTAGGTTTACTTAAACTCAACGTATCTTTTTTTAAAATAAAGATTTTGACTTTGGTCTCTTAATAAAACAAATTGACTTTTGCAAACGATTACCTAAATGGTAATAATTGTAAAGTTAACCCTCTTCTTTGCACAGGTACTTCTTTACCTAGGAATGCTGTGCCCAAAATGTTCGGTCGCCGACTCAGTGAGGAATGTGGGCGTGTGCGTTTGTGTATGGGGACGGGGCTGTCTGCGGCCAAAAAAAATACAACAGAAGTAACGGGCCTATATAAGGTGATGGTCTCGGCCTCAAGGCCACGGAACTGGGCTAAGAAAAGCACGCAGTGCTGACCAATGCCACGGCTCCCCGGGGGCTGAGACCACCTAACCAGCCCGCAATTCCCAGGACACAACACTCGGCTTCACACGCGAGACAACCCCTGACCACGGTCGCCTCCTGACCCGCAATACCTGAAAAACGCAATCTGGGAGCGCGGGAGGCCGGGGAGGGAGAAGGGGAACCTGAGAAAGGGATAGGGGAAGCTGTCCTGGAGTCAGGAGGGTGACCACCCAGTTAACAGGAACCGGGTCGCGGCACAAACCGCCCCGCCCGCCCCAGCTTCGGGCCGACGCTTCCCGGCCGCAGGAGGCCAGGGCGGGGAGGAGACGCGGCCGGTGTTTCCCAGCGGCCTCACGTGCAGCGTTGCTCCTTTGGGGGCCGGGGCGGCGCGGGGCCCGATGCAGACGGCGTGAGGAGAGACGCCGGCCCTCGGCCCCGCGGCCCGGGCCTCCGTCTCCGCCCCGGCCGCCCGGCCGCCCTCCCTGCTCGGCGGCCCCGTACTCACGCTGGCTTCATGGTAGCGGCCTCCGCGCTGCCCAGACGCGCGCGCGGGACGCCGAGCTCGATCCGGCAGGCTGGCGAAGACGGCGGGCCGCAGGAACAAGCCGCGGGAACAGGGACTCCACGGCTCAGGCGCCGCACTCCGGAAAGCCGGGCTGCGTCGCCGCGAGCCCAGGTGAGCTCGCGCGCGGCGCATTTCAAACGGGCCAATCAGCGCCCGCCTGCAGGCAAGGGGCGAGGCTTCAGTGCAAGTGGCCGTTCTGCCGGAAGTGGCGCTCGTCTCCTAGACTACCGACGCGGAAACCGCGGGCTGAGTGTGGGCGTCAGGGCTGGAGGGAGACCTCAGACGTGAAATCCAACCTCTTCCATTTTCCTGTTTTATTTATTTATTTATTTTAACAGAAGTAGCATATTGACATCCGCTTCCATTTTCCGATGAGGAAACTGAGGGTTTCTTTTCCTTCAACACAGAAAGTTCAGTGGAAGGGCAATTCCAGGATTGAATCAGAGGTCGGCGATGCCATTGTGGTCCAGGAGTGTTCAATTCCTGTGCCCGGCTTGGAGCCATGTCACCGCATTATTTTGTGTTGCTTTCTCCTTCTGATTCACCTTTCCTGCGTTTCCCTGTCTAGTTCCTCCAGCTCCTTCCAAAATATACGTTATTTTATCAGTCTTCTTGTTGTGCTAATGTTGATCCTAGACCTACAGAGAGGAATAAAATTTGGTCTTTGCCCTTGAGGAACAACGTCCAGAAACTACTCTTGTCTTAGATGAACTGATTCTATCTCACTTCAACCTTTGCCCCTTAGCTGATAACTATCATGCATCTACATCTGTGCTTTCATGGAACTCTAGTGCTCTCTCAGCTTCCTACAGGACCATAGCATTGGTAAGGATAGTCATAATTTAATATTCCCTTGGCCTATATTGTTGGTGTTGGGGCTCAGAAAATGATACCCCAAAGTATAACTCTTTGAAATGCTGAGTACTTTGAACTAAAGGAGATAGGAAGGCCTCAGAAGCAGCATCAGAAGCAAAGTCTCTCTCCGACCTCCTGCCCTTCTGTCTCCCATCCCTCTTTCTCTAAAGCAAATCATAGAAACCAGAATTCCTCTTTCCCAAGGCAGGTCACGGAAACTAGAACCCCTCTCCCCCAAAGTTAGCCAGAAATATTACTGTAGAAAAACCTAGAAATATTACTCTAACCTTCCCCCACCTTTCTGTGTAGGAGCTGGCCATAATGAAATTCTCTGATTTATCTTGTCTGATAATACGTCATAAGACTCTCATTCCAGAAGGATCCTGCTGTATACCCCAGAGAAAGGAATGCTACACAGAGAGGCCAATAAGAATCTGAACAGATAGGCCTTTCTGGGTTCCTTGTCAGTCTATTAATTCATACTCCTTTTGTCCAATCACATTTCTACATGATTGTTCATTCTTCATCAAATCTAAATATAAAAATGGACAATTTTCCCTGGGTCTTTAGGTCTTCATTTCCGAGGGTTCCTATGTCATGTAAAACTTTCATTAAATGAATTTTTAATCCTTGTATCTTGTTAACCTGTCTTTTGTCATAGTAATGTCGGCTATGACTCTTATGTTAGGTAAAAAAAGGTATACCTTTTCAACCTCTACATTGGACATTAGGATAGTTTTGATTTTTGCTGTTATAAACATAGCTACAGTGAATAAACTTGGAAATACATCATTTTATACAATGCAAGTAAATATGTAGGATAAATTCCAAGAAGCACAATTGTTGAGTCAGAGTATATGCATGTGTAATGTTTCACAAGTATTGCCAAACTGTCCTCCATAAAAGTTGTCCAAATGTACACTTTCACCAGCCTGTATGAGAGTGCCTGTTTCTCAACAAGTTTCAGACAACAAAGTGTTATCAAACTTTTAAATATATATCCACCTATTAGGTGAAAAAAATCATGTTTACATTTTCATTTTTCTTATGATAAAGGAGGTTGGATGTCTACTCTTATATTTAAGAGCCATTTGTGTTTTCTTCCGTATGAACTGTGTTCATATTCTTCGCTTCATTATTCTATTGGGTTGTTAGTTTCTCTTATTGATTTATAAAAGCTCTTCTTATATTAAAAAAAAATCCTCATCCAAAATATGAGTTCAAATATTTATAGTTCATATTTTGGTTCTTATTATCATTTATATATGTTTTGTGACAGCAAAAAAAAAAAAATTCTGATAGCCAAATATATCAGTCTTTTCTGTTATGGCTTCTGTCTTGTATCATACTAGGGAAAGTCTTACCCACCCTGAGGTTGGTTGATTTGTTTTAATTTCCCATATTTTCCCCCAGTGCTTCTATTGCTTTGCTTTTTTTTTTTTTTTTTTTTGAGACAGAGTCTCACTGTGTTGCCCTGGCTAGAGTGCCGTGGCGTCAGCCTAGCTCACAGCAACCTCAAACTCCTGGGCTCAAGCAATCCTTCTGCCTCAGCCTCCCGAGTAGCTGGGACTACAGGCATGCGCCACCATGCCTGGCTAGTTTTTTCTACATATTTTTAGTTGTCCAATTAATTTCTTTCATTTTTAGTAGAGACGGGGTCTTGCTCTTGCTCAGGCTGGTCTCGAACTCCTGAGCTCAAACAGTCCGCCTGACTTGGCCTCCCAGAGAGCTAGGATTACAGGCGTGAGCCACCGCGCCTGGCCTGCTTTGCTTTTTATGTCGAAGCCTTTGAACAATTAGGACTTTGTTGTCAAGTAAGAGTTTGCGATCTGTACCATTTAGGAATTGGGCTTGGCTGCTGACTACTCACCTCCTACTTGCTCTCCTTTCTGGCTTCTGCCTCAGTCTCTCCACTGGAACTCTTGTCACCAAGATCACCACCTCCTTGATGCTAAATCTAATTGGTCCTTTCCCGCCCTTGTCTTACTTGACCTCTCAAAAACACCAAATGTTGCTGGTGCCTCTCTTTCCATACCTTTATTTTTTCTCCTAGCTCTCTAGCTCCTCTTTCATTTGTGGGTCCTTTTTTCTCTGTTAAATGTTGTGG